AAAAAAAAAAAATAAACATTAAAGGGGCACCTGGGTGGCTCAGTTGGTTAAGCGTCCGACTTCAGCTCAGGTCATGATCTCACAATCCATGAGTTCGAGCCCCGTGTCAGGCTCTGTGCTGACAGCTCAGAGCCTGGAGCCTGCTTTGGATTCTGTGTCTCCCTCTCTCTCTCCCCCTCCCCTGCTCATGCTCTGTCTCTGTCTCAAAAATAAATAAAAACATTAAAATTTTAAGAAAAAAAAATAATAAACATTAAAAATTTTTTTTTCTTAAAGAGTATAATAGGTACCCAAGACCAAAAAGTTTGAGAACCCCTGCTTCCCAGCGTTTCTGCACTTGTTAATAACATGGTAAAGGGAAAAACAGACCACACACAGAACCTTATCTCCAGTTTCTGGGCAATGTGACCTATGAGATCTAGTTCAGCAAATAGCTCAGTTAACTTACAGGAAGAAAACCTTACATTTTAAAATTTTCTCTTCAGCTTCTTTAAGGTGTGATGTAGATGTAGGGCACCAGGTGGGAAGCCAACCAGTTAGCCATCCTGACCTAGAGCATCAAAAACAAAATACAAAGAGAGATGTTAATGCTCTTCTCAACTCCCAGCTGTCACATCTGAAGAAAAGCAGAACAGGAAACTTATCGTCTATATGACGGTGAAGCTGTCTACCTGTGGCACAACCCACCTAATACATACAAAGCATTGTGGTAAAGTACTGGGCAGCAGACATTCGACTTCAGCCTGTGAACCTACAGGTAGACATGGCTGGCCTGCAGTGACCTGGTTAACTGTTGATGAAAAAGCTTCAGGGTCCAATAAATAGTAGATGAAAAGAATGACCCAGGTATCTGGCAGGGGGGACAGAAGCAAGCCTGAGGCAACCAGTAAGGCAAGGTGTGGGGACACGAGAAAAGACAGGCTTTGCTAGTAGCTAACGAAGGAGAGGATGAACCTTTAACTCCTGGCCTGGCAGCAGCAGACCACAAGCTCATCCTAACAATCTGGGAAAACGCAAAGCATCAGCAGTTCTGTGACAGTTAGTGAGAGCTAGCTCCTGACCAGGAATATCCAAAGTGAAGAGCTTCCCGATTAAAGAGAAAATGAATCCAAGAAGGAAGAAAGACAAACCACTGTAGCTTCCAGATGAGAGGTATGGGCCTAAACCAAGGCTATGGCACCAAGAAGACGAGGCCAAGGAATATTTAAAAATAAAACAGGCTGAAGGATACAAACTAGAAGATACAACTAGAAGAGGCCTAAGTTCTGGAGATCTAAAGCATAGCACACGGACTATGGTCTGTAACATGCACACTTCAAAACTAAGAGACCAAATCTTAAATGTCACAACCTCAAAAGAAATGGCACTTATGTAATGTTGTAAGAGGTGTTAGCTAAAGTGTAACCAGACTGCAGTATATAAATGGTACATAAATAGTGTCAAATCAACACAGTTAATTTGTTGATAAACTTATACAATGTTATATCAAAGGGGGAGGGTGGAATCTAATGGAGGAAACAGGTGACCCAACAACTATAATACATGATGGAATGAATTCATTCCACAAGTACTTAACTGAGCACTTAACTATCTGTGAGGAACTATTTTAATCACTTGGGACATAACAATTATCAAACAGAGGTAAGAGTGATTAGTTCTCCTTGAGGGCATCAGAGAGTTACTTTTGAGCTACATCTTCTAGGTAAACAGGATTCAGAGTGGTAATTGAGGCATCCCCCATGAAGGGCATGAGCACAAGCACATAAGGAAGTGCATGATGTGTGTTCTCAAGTAACAAGGGCATTGTTTCCAACGGCTGCTATAACAAATTACAAACTTCGTAGCCTAAAACAACAGAAATTTATTCAGGGCCACACTCCCAATAGAGGCTCTATCAGAAAATCCTTGCCTCTTCTGGGTTCTGGTGACTGCCGGTATTCTTTATCCTAAGGCAGGGTCACTCGATTGTCCCCATCCATCACCACACTGCCTTCTGTGTGACGTCCTTCTCCCTGTCTATAATCAATCTCCCTCTGCCTCTCACTTATAGAATCACTAGTGATTGCATTTAGGGCCCACCCAGACATCCCAGGATCATCGCAGTTTTCAGAGTAATTGTAATTAGTTAAATTAAAAGTCTGCAGAATCTTTCCCATATAAAGTAACATTCACAGGTGCCAAGGATTAGAAAATGGACACGTCTTTTGAGACCATTACCTTTGGGGACCACTACCACAGATGTAAAGCATGGAGTATACTCCAAGATAAAATATTTATTTATTTATTTAATTTATTTACTTACTTATTTTTAATGTTTGTTAATTTTGAGAGAGAGAGACAGCATGAGTGGGGGAGGGGCAGAGAGAGAGAGAGAGAGAGAGAGAGAGAGAGAGAGAGGGAGGGAGGGAGGGAGGGAGGGAGGGAGGGAGGGAGGGAGACACAGAATCGGAAGCAGGCTCCAGGCTCTAAGCTATTAGCACAGAGTCTGACGCGGGGCCTGAACTTGCCAACTGCGAAATAATGACCTGAGTCAAAGTCGGACATTTAACCGACTGAGCTATCTTGGGCGCCCCCAAGATAAAATACTGAAACATTCAATAAATGGTAGTTGACATTATACTGATGACAACAGAACAATTCACTAAAATTATGTGATGTTAATCAGTAATTCCTAAAATGAGAGTTTTAAATAAGGTTCAGAAGAACTTTGAAGATGGAAATTGACAAAGAATGGTCATATTGCATCACTCCTTACCTCCAAGGTAAGGCTACTTCTAGCTACCTACAATAGGAAGCTCAGCCCTGCTCCAGCCTTTTACTTGATATTCTAGTGTCATTTTTGCCATTCTTATTCTGTTTCTGGCCACACAATATCCCCTGTTCTCTTGCTTCCTGGGCCTGAATAGCCTTACAACATGTCTCTCCCCTTCTTGTCATGATCCATTATACCTCTTACCACCCTCTGATTCGATTTCATTTCCCCTTTGCCCACATACCCAAACAGGACGAGATCAAGATGGCAGGACTAACACCCAATACACAAACTCTATTCTCTTCCTTCTCAAGTTGTGTTATAACGTTCATATTTACTCATCAATATGCTCGCCCAGCTGTAAGATCCTTGAAGGTAAGGACTCTGTGTTCACCAATGTATATTACCATACATTGCTGTTGTAAATGAAGTTATTGCTTCACCTGAAATGTATTAGCTACAGTGAATTACAAGTGGATCACTTGAATATAAGAGAATTTTCTGAGATGGCAGTGACATTCTCTAAACAGGTGGTTGAATTACACAGATGTATGCATATGTCACAATCCAGCAAATAAACACTTAAGATGTAAGCATTTCATCATAAAATTTTATACTAAAAAAAGGAAAACAGCCTGGATTTGATAACTGGTTGGATATAAAGAAGGTGTAATAGAGGATTTCCAGGTTTCTGACTCAGGTACCACTAATAACCACACAGAACGCACAACTAGGAATAGGTGTGAGTAGAGAAATCCAGCTTTTTCTAAGCTTTGTAGGTCCATGCTACATTTCCCTGTCCTATAGAATCTCTCTGGGCATTATGTATTATAGCCGCTCAATAAATGTCTGCATAATGATTAAGTCACTCAGAATCCAGGGTATTTTCAGTCCAAGTTATCCCCATTTTGCAGATGTTAAAAGTAAGGTTCAGAAATGTTAAGCACGACATCCAAGGGTATTAGGGTAGTAAGGAAGTGACACAAGTAGAAATTTAAATTCAATTCTGTCTGACTTCAAAAGCTCTTTTTTCTCAGGTGACTATCTTCCTTAAAATGAGTGAGGAATTGTCATGACCTACAGGACAAAGTCACAGGACAAAGGCACATTCCTTAGACCTGCAAGGCAAAGAAGACACATAGTAGCCTACATTCTAACCAGGCTCCACTCCAAATGTTCTCTGTGCTAGTTTCAAACCTTCTACATTAACAGGGTAAGATGATATGACCCCTAGGCATCTCCCACAAATGATACATAGAACTTATTAACAAGATATAAACATAATAGAAAACATCATTATTAGTCTATAAATATATAAGGCTATTTACAAATTATCAAGGAAAAACAATTCAAAGTTTTAGCAATGAGTTTTTCAATCATTCAACAATTTGTCAATTGTTGGCAAAAAAAGCAGTTAACGGGCAGTTAAAAGAATCTCCTGATATTTAGAGCTTAAAATTTAAAAAGTAAACCATTATTAAGCTGAAGCTCTTCTGTCCTTGACCAGGAATGGTCATCAAAGTCTGTTAGGCCGCAAAAATATGAGCTAGTACCAAAAGGAAGCTACTTATAACTCAATCTCATCATTGTTCTTATATATCCCTCAAACCATAGCATAGTTCTTTGCCAGAATCAGAGGTTGGTACTCAACAAACAAATAATCAAACAAATAAAGTGAAATGAACTATAATCTACTAGTGCTCCAAAAGATATCACAGACACGTTGGGGCAAAGAAAACACAAATGCAGTCTTTGTTTCTGTCTTTTTTTTTTTTTTTGTAAGTTTATTTATTTTGAGAGAGAGAGAGAGATAGCACACAGACGTGCACACAGGAGTGGGGGGAAGGGCAGAGAGGAAGAGAGAGAATGCCAAGCAGGCTCCACCCCCAGCACAGACCCTGACCCAGGGCTTGATCCCATGAACCGTGAGATCATGAACTGAGCTGAAATCAAGAGTTGGATGTTCGACCTACTGCGCTACCCAGGTGCCCCATGTTACAGTCTTTTTGAAAAATTTACATTCTCTGAATACCTGCTATGTACAGGTCCTCGAGTTTAAAATGTTATACACCAGCCTGCAATATAGGAATTATGCCTACAGCAGCTTTCAAAGGACAGATCTGGTCCACCCATCTTTGCCTCCTGATGATGGGCTTAACTCAAAGAGAAAAGGCAAAACAGCATTTTTATGTTTGCAAGTCTAGTGCATCACACTAAAACTCAGGGCTTTTCAACCACAGGAGCCACCAATCCTGTTCAGGTTTTCAAGGCAACCTTTTCATCTAAGCAGCTAATTGTTTTTAAGTGAATTTTTCTGAAGTACATTTAAACTGAAAAATCTATATTTAACAGAGCATAGTAAAATATTTTATTTTTACTCATTAGAACTGTAAAGATACCTCTCCTCTCCTAAGCCTTGATAGTATTTCTGTCCAATCAGTTTTGCCTAAACCAGATGATAATATGTTTTATAGAAACTGTCTTCTTTCTTAGAGGTACTCCACATGATTGACTCCAACACATAATAGGCTCAAAGGAACATTTCTAAAGAGTACAAAGCTGGGGTCTCTCTTTTCTGTCCTTTTCTTGATCACTCTTCACTCCCAGTTCCCAGTCTTGAGCTGGCCACCTCTATTGCTTCAACCCTCCAAGACACTCATCCAACTTCACCTTCTGCCTTCCGGGTATAAACCTCATCTTCTAAGAGACCCTCTGCCCCTTCCACAAGATCTCCTGTGTCCTCCAGTGTTGTTCTGCATCGTAGGCTTGGTGCGTGAAACTGGCCCTAAGGACACAAG